TCCCTTTTCTTCCATTTTCTTCTTGGGATTTTGGGTATATGCACACATGTGCCTGTCATGAGTTTCAAGCCACCAGGTCTGGGACATGAACCATGGTTGTCCACGTGAGTCCAGCACTTCAACCACTGTGCCACCTGCTGGCCTCCCAAACTCTTTCTTAATGCTACTTTCCTCACATTATCTTTCATTTTAGTTATGGAAATCAAATGATGGGTAAGCTTCGACTACCTTCTGTGGCCCAGAGATAGAGATGACTGCATATTTATAAATTTATTCCTCAAGCTGGTACCATCAGCACCACCCAACTCATACCTCCATTCCTGAAAAAAAAAAAAAAAAAAAAAAAGGCAGGCAGCTCCCCAGAAAGGGTGAGTGATGGCAGAAGGACCCTCTGGCAGGATCACGGACCAAATGACAGTCCCTCCCCAGCTCTCTGCTTCACTCTAGAATGACTCACGATTCCAACTTCAGGCACTTTCTCTTTCTTTTGATGTTGCTGTTCCTGGCACCCTCAGCAAGTAGGCTGGGGAAGCAGGCAAGAATATTAAGAGGACACATTTAGTCTGGAGACTGCATTAAATGCTGCAACTCTGGCATTGAAGTGAGTTGCCGTTTTGACAAACACTATTTTCGTTATCCAAATTCTTCAGTTGTTGGGATTCCTCTGATCTAGTATTGGGCTAAACCAGGCATGAAGTCACTAGTACAAACACAGTTCCACCCTCTGGGAACTGATCCCACCTTGAGTAAGATAACCTTCATCAGTTAAGCCAACTTCCTCAAATGCCATGCTTCCAGAAAGGTTTAGAGAAATCAGATAGGGTCAGCTCCAAAGCATGGCGATTAAGCCCTGTGTCTAGGGCATTGGATCCCAAGTTGGCTAACCACAGTTCAAATCCCAGCTTTGGTGGCTTGAAAAACAGCCCAAAATCCTGATAGGATGAAGGAATAGAGAGGAAAACGGATTGCTGTGTGACCATACCCCACTGGGGAGGAGCCATCTCTCTCTCTCTTGTCTCTCTCTCTCTCTCTCTCTAGTGAGCGCATGTGTCATTCAACAATAAAAAGTCAGGAAATCAGATCATAAAGGTGAACAAAGTAAAAATGGCAAGATCTCCTCTAGGCCATCCATTAGAAAAACTCCCCTGAAAGTTATCCTACACTGATTATTTTCTATATATGAAGGTCTCAGGATTTAGAACAATGGGTGTTACAGAGTAAGAAATTAATATATGAGAGGACTTAAATAATTTGTGGAAAAATGAAATTAAAGTATAAATTTGGTGCAAAAAATATTCAGACTCCACATATAGGGTTTTTTTTTCATAATACACATTTCCCACGATCTTTTTTGAAGACTTTGCATATGGTGTACAGAAGGCTAGATACATGCATGTTAGATGAATAGATAAATAAAATCAAATCAAAAGACAGTGTGAAGAACAACTTTTTGATCCCTCAAAATTCATACCCACACTAGGAAATGACCCAATCTCATTCTCTAACCCCCATCCACACACTGGCTCCACCAGCCCCTAGGGAGCTCAGATTCGCCTTCCTCGTATCTCCACAGAAAGGCAGTTCAGATACTTCATTCTGCCTGGGGAAGCTTCTATCTAAACCCAGGGACAGCTGGGATTATGCCTGGCCCAGAGTTCTTTATAAAGAAGCCTTAGACAATGGGGGCTGAGTTCCTTGGAAGCCAAGAAGCTTTGTTAAAAAGACAGCTAGTTAGAGAGTGGACAGTATTTTTAAACGCATGAGTGTGCTGAATAATTAAGCAAAAACTTTTGTTTTCATGGAAAAATTTCTTCCAACTGCTGCATCAAGAGGGATACTGAATTTGCCACAGGCAGTTGTTGGCAAGATAGTGAGACTGTGTTTCTTCCAGTTCAGGGAAAGGGAATTCAGATCAGATATCCAGGCTGTGGACCTCAGTTCAAACATAATCCATGCTTTCTGATGCAGAACAGATAAGTCACCCTGGGCATATCTGAAAAGGTCATTTGAAGGTCACTCTGTCTTTTCCCTTGCCTTTGTTCTAAAATCACTCATGGTCTTCTCCCCCCCAGTCTAGGTTTTTGATGAACCATAACATTTTGGAGTAACCATTCTTAATCCCATTTGAGAGAAGAAAACAGTGAGAATCAGAGAGGCTGAGATTTTCTAGAAGTCCCACAGCAAGTGAATGGCAAAGCTGATATTCTGTCTAACATACCCAGTTCTTACCATCTTTTCTGACGATCTCAATGCAATTCATCCGCTAATATCCTGCAAGTCTCCCCCTTGCTGAAATGATTTTTAATTCACCAGTCTATACAGTCTCTTCCCTGAATTCTTGGCACAGTTGCGTGTTACAGTGTTTATGCTCTGTACCATTCATAGTGTCATTAGCTCCTGCTACACAAAATTGTTAGCTAACTCAATTGTCAAAGTCTTTCTGATAAAAAAGATTATTAGGTCCCAGAGGGCAGAAATTCTCAAATATCTTATTTTCTTTTTTAACAAGGAAAAGATATTTCCATTTCATATTACAGCAAAGGGTCAACCTGAGATAGGAAGAGCTTTTAAAAGTAGAGAACACGGGCCCGCTGTTGGCATGGTGGTTAAGACGGCTGGATCCCACTTGGCTGGCTGTGTGGTGCAAGTTCTCTTACATCTTTTTTATCTCTGTCAGCATCCAACACATAAGTGATACTTGATAAATATTTGCTGAAAATGTAGGCCAATGGAGAGACGCATGGACTGAGTGATGGAATGATCGTGTTTAATAAGTACATGATGAATAAGAATAAATGAGATCATAAATGGATTGAATTATTTCCAGTAGTTTAGAACTTTTGCTTAAAAATATAGCATCGGGCTAGACAATGGCACAGCATTCAAATGCAATCCCCCATGGGAAGGTTTCCAGTGCAAGTCTAGAGCTCACCCTAAGTGTGCTGGACACATGTGTACCCATGTTCGCAGTTGGCTCAAGGCTGCGGGTGGATGGAGGCATTGGGACTCTGTCGAGGATTCTGGCTCTCTGTCTCTCTCTCATGTTCATGGGAGAAACTGACTGATTATTTTTTATAAAGGAGATGTAGCAGAGCTTACAGAGTACCTATATGTAGTCATGCTTTACTTAACAACAGGGGTACATTCTGAGAAATGTGTCCTTGGGCGATTTTGTCATTGTGCAAACATCACAGAGTGTATTTAAGCAACCTGGATGGTAAACCCTCCTACACTCTAGGTTATATGGCCTAACTGTAATCTCAAGGAACATCCATAATGTCATTTTGCAGCACATGATGCAGGCACTCCTCACTTATGACTGAGTTACATGCTTACGAGGTCCTTAAGGGAATTGGTTGATAAGCAAGGATCTAAAAGGCAGATGTCTTGTGGGGTGTCATGGTACTATAGGATATATATTTTTCAATACATTTCACGTGACACCACCCTAGAATAATGTAATTCTAGCCATACTAAAAGCATACACTAGATAAGCACCACAAAGCAACAAGACACACCGCAATGCAATAATATAAATCCAGCATAATCATTTTTATTTATTCTGAATGGTGCGATGGGTACACAATAAAGTACAAATTTATAAATGAAATATGTAATCTTGTGTGATTGTGAACACTTCATGTAGTGAATACTAATGGACTGCAGGAATGACACAAAGACCGAGAAAGGGGATTCCTGAGACTCACAGACTGAGCAAGGAGGATTTCCCATGTCGCAGAGCTGGTGGACGTCTGAGAAGTCGTTCAATCAGTCGTTAAGTGAGAAGTGGCTGTGTACACACACACACACACACACACACACCACTTAAGCACAACAGTCCACATGCCATTTAGCTTCATATTCATTTTACAGATGATGACATTGAGTCATAGAAACAAGTGAAGAAATCAACCATTCTTGTATGGCTAGGAAGAAATGCAGAGGAACTGAGAAAGTGCAGCTGGAGATAATGCATACTACTTGGTTGGATATTTGGGATTTTTTTCTACTCAGGGATAGATAGAAAGAGCGGTCTCTTGGATAACTTAAGGCACCTTCTAGTTGTTGTTCTCAGGCTCTAGGGAAATAAAAGAATTCCACTTATTAAAAAAAAAAAAAAAGAACATATAGTTAATGTTTCTTCTTCATATCCAAAATTACAGGTGTGACTAGTGAGTTATTAGTTACAAAATTGCCTTATTAAGCTCTAACGGAAGCATTGGTTTAGGGTTTTTGGTTTTTTTTTTTAATTCTCTAAGTACTTATAGCCAATTTTAACATTAAAAATTCCTTGAGTCAAAATTATTTACCAGTATGATAATTCTTTTCAAGGCAAGGCTAGGCTTAAAGTCATTTTCCTTACCAGGACCACCCGATAGAGTAATTGGCTGCAATTAGCAAAGACTTTGTCATTCCTCTCAAAATCTGGCTTCAGAATCTGGCTTCAGCATCCATAAAACATGCAGATCTGTTTCTCTTTCCCAGTAGGAATTGAGAGCTTCTACAAATCTGTCCCCAATTTAGAAAGGCAAAGGAAGATATTCCCTGTTTAATACATCGCAGCAGCATAGAGAGGAGGAGTGCCTACAGTCACTTAGCCCAGAGTTCCCCAAACAGTAATACATGGGGTCATTTTAGGCAGTACACAGATGTGCCTTAATAAAAATTAATAATTAAGTTCATTTCAAAATATACTAGTGGGTCCGGCAGACGGTGTGGTGGTTAAGGCATTGTACTGTACTCTCACATGGCCAAGCATGGTTTGAGTCCTGGCAGCTTAAAAATCATGCTGGACACACATGCATATATGCCCAAAATCCCAGGAGAAGAATGGAGAAGAAAGGACTATGGCATGGCCATCTCCCCTGGGGATGATTTCTCACTTTCCTCCTATTGTCTCTGTCTCTCTGACAAACATATGTACCCTATGGGGGGGGGGAACTTGAAAAGAAAACTATTGCAAGTATGACTTTCACATCAGATTTATGTTTTGTCAACAGTATGTTCAACGTGAGGTCAAATTTTAAAAGTAAGCCAATCGAAAGAATAACACTTGAAGACTGGACAAAATTCACAAAAATGGTATGTGAATAAATTGAGGTTTGGAAAATACTAATAGCCATACACCCTCATTTGATGGGACCAGAAACAGAAGCTCTGAGAGGCAGCTACAGGACCAGAACCCAGCTCTAGCAGTTCCCAGATTGTTCTTGCTTTCACCCTGGAGCAACTGTCAGTTTTTTCTGTGTTTAGGAAGATACACTGTAGGGTAATCCCTCTTGACCCAAGCCCTCTCCCATTCCTACTCTCCTCCCAGGTCCTGACCTTTCACTGAAGTAACTTAAAATTACTTCAAAACCTGCCCTCAGCTCTATTTCTAGAAACTCACATACCCACTGAAGAATACACTTGTCTTGATGCCCCATCCCCACGTAACTCCATCAAACCAGTTATTCCCCACTTCACAAGCCTCTCTTTGACAATTACTTGGATACCTGTATTTGAAGGTACTTCCTAGGATCGAGACATGGTTCTACTGGCAGCATCACAGGACAGCAAGGAGACAGGACAGTCTCTTATCAAACATCAACCAGAAGATGTTATCTCAACTGGTGAGATGTCAGTTTTCTGTACCCCATTCCATAAAGTAGTTTTTCAAGAACCAGCAGATGGCATAATGGTAACATCACTGGACTCCCATATAGTCGACTGGGGTTCAAGTCCTATCCCGGGCGGCTTAAATTCACACAGGGTGTATGTACATGCATGCCCCAAATCCCAAGAATGGAATGGAAGAGAAGGGATTGTGGTGTGGCCATCCCTGCCGAGGGGGTGATTTATTGCTTTCTGTCTCTCTGTCTCTCGTGAGCACACATGCCGTATAACAAAAAAACTAAAACAGAAACAAAACAACAAAACTCTCTCTAAACAAAAAAATATATTGAAATTAAATAGTTGTTCAATTAACACCGCTTTGCAAATGGTCTCCAGCTACAAGACCCTCCTTGCTGATGTTACTCTTCCTGCCTTCTGGCTGAGCTACACAAAAACGGTACTGATGACATTTTATAAGAACACTGTGCATGCCACTGGGCCCCAAAATATGGGCAACCAAGGCACTCTGGTCCCACAGGCTAGGCTTCCCAGGGAGCCAGAAGACAGCCGGCTCTGGCTGGCCAGTCCTGTCCCGAAAATGAACACCTCTCTTAAAGCTGAGAATCCAGAGTTTAGGAGCCAAGGAGTGTGAGCTCATGACTGTTCACTTATCCTGAAGCTTCCCATGACTTCTGGCTTCCTAAGCTCCTTTTTACCACTATCTCAGGAGGTGCCAATTTCTTGGCCTTGCCTTCATGGCCCAACCCCCAGGTGACCCCCACATCTCCCTCCAGATGATGTAGAACCCCCTGAAGGCTGTGGTTAGGTCAGCAAGTCCCAGCTGCTGGGCAGAGCAAGGCAAGAAAAGTCCCAGCCCCTTCCTTGGCCTCAGTTTCCTTGAGTCTACAGGGAAGGGATTTGATGTAGATACATCCCACGCTCCCCATTCATTAGTCCTTGACCTCTTCCTCACACCACACTTTCAAACAATTTTCTCTTGTGGTTTTTCTCTGTGCCCCATAACCTGCATTCTCTGCCAGTGATAAAAGAGCCTGGAGTCTGTCCGTTAGATACCTTCACAAAAGAGCTCTTCAGAGTTCCTTCTTGGCCTTGACAAGGACTTTAAAGCTGGAAGAATAACAGAAATTTTTTTCTCTTGAAGGCCTGTGTACTTGAGAATAAAAGGCGTTAAGGAAGACTTGGGTTCCAGGTCTGGCTGGACCACTGCTGGCTGAGTGCTGCGAGCGAGTTACTCAGTCTCTCTGAGCCTCAGTTTCCTCATCAGTACAATAGGGACGCAAGGACACCCAGGGCACAGGGTTCTTGTGGGAAGTCAGTGAGCGTTTATGCAGATGGCATGTGGAAGGAGCTTAACATACACCATCATATTCAAACCATTCTTTGCTGAGGACAGAATTGATCTCTTTTTAAAAATTAGTCTGGTTCCTGGGCCAGCAAATGGCTTGATGATTAAGGCACTGGATCCCACATGACTGACTGCGTGGTCTGAGTCCCAGACCCAGCAGCTTGGAAAATACGCAGGGCATATGTGCGTGTATGCCCCAAATCCTAAGAAGAGAATGAGGAAAAGGGACTGCGGCTTTCTCTCTCTCTACCTGTCTGTCTCTAGCAAGCCCATGTGCCTTTATGGGGGGGAGGGGGGAAGCCCCTTCAATTAACAGCTTTCTCCCAAACACCATACCCAAACTGTGTGGGTACACACTGGATTGGGTATAGAAAGGCCAAAAATGCAGTCCATGTTGTCCCGACCCAGATGGCAGGAACAGAGGGGACCCCGGAAGTCTGAGGGTTCCCAGTTCAGAGTTGCTAGCTCAACCTGGAATTCTCATTCCCACCACTATCCCCCGCCACCCCCATCCGTTTTTATCCCTCTTCTTTCAATCAAACACTTCAAAGAGATGCCTGGAGAAGGGAACCGTGAATTCTCTGCTCATAGTTTTCATGAGAGGAAACCAAAGAATGTTTCTCTTTGAGACTGCATCTGCTCATCCAAACCAATTTTACTAGCTGAGGGCACTTCAGCTCAAAGGCAGGCTCAGGGGCTGATGAAATTCAGATGTGAGGTTGCAGAGAGTCTGCAACTCTGACAGGAAAACAAGAGGTGCCCTGCATGTTTGGGCAAGGGCCTGGGCAGTGGGGACAGGGATGAGGAGAGGGGAGAGTGCAGACACCTTGGGGAGAAAGAGAGGTTTGAGAAGGGCACTCAGGGAGAATGGCAAAAGTGCCAGAGGAAGAGAGCCAAGAAAGCTGAAGGAGAGAGGAACCGAGAGGAAACAAAGCCCAGAAACGCATTTTATTTTTCTTCTTTAAAGAATGAAAAAAGACAGAGAGGGAGAAGAAAAACACTACACACACAAACACTCAAACTGTTTCAACTGACAGGAAACGTGGGCCCGCCGAAGGCATTATTAGGATGGGAGATAAGGAAACCACCGAGATAGGAAATAATTATTTTGTATCTGTCTTTATAAATGAAAACGAAGGGCATTAACTTAAATAGGATTTAGATTTTCCAGGACAGAAGGGAATGAATTAGGAAATAATTCTGATAACATAGGAAATGTTCATTAAAAGGTCAGGGGGGTTCTTGAAACTGACAGGGCCTCATGGGTCAGATTAATACCAGCTAAACTGGGAGGAGACCCAGAGGGCCAAGGCTGGCGGTACCACTTGTGTAAGATAACTCAGCTCAGGACAGAAGATCCTTGAAAAGGTGACTGGCCTCCTGGCCCAACTTGGGAGTCGCTGACTTCACTTGACAGGTAGGAGGCAGATATCTGTACTAAGAGGCCGCCTGAGCTGGCTTCGCCCCCATGAGCATCCCTCATCCTCATCTCCACCCTCTCAGTAGCTCGTGGAAGAAAGGGGGTGTGTGGGGTCTGGGTGGGAAGGGAGAAATGGAAGGAGCCACCCAGTAATGATACCGTGTTCACAGGGCCCTGGGAATCCCCACACTCCTCAAAGATTCACACTCCCACATCCCAAAGGGCCTCCAGGAAGTCTTTTTTGTCTCCAGGTGAGTCCTCAGCCCCCCTGGATAGAACTAACCCCTGCATTTCTTAACTCCCTCTAAGAAAGCATTTCGAAAGCCACAGTTAGGAGCCAGATGCTGTAGCTGGTTGTCTCAGTCTGAATTCTAGTTCTGTCCCTTTCTAGCTCCTGACTCTAGGAGTTCCTTAAATCTGAACCTCCACTTACTCATCTTTAAAATGGGTAGTTGGAGAGTTTGAGTAAAGTAATGTAAAAAGTTCTTAGAACAGTAAATAAAATAGAATAAAAAGAACAAAATTATATTGACACATTAATTGAGGCATCCTGGCTTACCTCCAACATCGAGGAAGAGTTCTTTACGCAGAAGCTGAGTCTCCAGCTGTCCCGTGAGCCTCTCCTGATTGGAACCACCTGCAGGTCATCCTGCCTTGGACCTCGAGTTCTGTCGCAGAAGTAGCTCTTTCTCACGTCCTCCTGTCCTACCCTTCTGCCCCATCACCTTCAACAACCCCAGCAAAGGAGCTGGGAGGCAGAGAGCTTCCCCACAGCTGAAATCAGCTTCAGACTGACCCTGCTGAAGGTTCTCGCAGCTTGAGTTCAGGAGGGAGGGAAGCCACTAGTGCCGGTCACTTAATGTCCCACCCAGGACCTTGTGGTAGCATGAAGCTTGGAAAGCATTTCTGAGCTGCATATCCTCCTCCTGCACAGACACAGTAGGCACCCGGGCATACCTGCCAGGGGCGGGACTCCACACAAGGACCCTCTGCAGGTGTCTAAGCTTAGTGCGTCTGGAGGAAACCTGGGGGCTGGCGCTTTGGACTCGCTGAAAGCTCTCTGCTGACAGAATCAGATAATCAGCTAATACCCGACCCTGCTGTGTCCTGAGCCCTGAGACGGATACATAACAATGTCATCAGACCTGCCTTCTAAGAGCCTTAGCCAGCTTACTGCCTCTTTGAGTGAGTCTGCCCTGGGTAATTATTCCAAACTCATGCCTGTGAGGAGGGCTAAGTGTCCTGTCACTGTAATCCTCTAAAAAGATCTCTCATTGGTTCCATCAAAGGGCTTGCACATCTGGCCTCTTCTCCCTCCGCATTCCACTCGCCCAGAGTCCTGTGCTGGCTCTTAGGCACAGGACCTTACTCCTGCCAGAGGGTAGCTCCCTTAAAGTTCCAGAGAAAATTACCTCGGACAAAAGACTGACCCCAGGATCCACAGAGGCAGGGGTCGGGTGAAGCTTCTAGATGTTTCTATTCTGCGAATTTAAAGCTGAGCAAAAACCCTCCTGCCAGCCTTGCAAATAGTCCCTGGCCCACTCATTCAGGTCCATGGGGAATTAATGCAAAAGGAGTAGCAGAGGCCAGGTTGTCTATGTGCCTCCAGTCTAGGGGCGTTCCAGGCAGGGGGTATATTTGTTAGGTTGATAAATCAGTATTTGTGTTTGTGTGCAAAGTTAGGAGAGGTCACTGCTGCTTAGTCTGGAATGGGTACAGGCAGAGTGGGAGGGAGGAGATAGACTTGGGTTGAAATTTCAGCTCTGGACTTCCTGTAACATCTCTGAGCTTCCTTATCTGTGTGGGGGGGAGGGGCAGGGGGACAGGAAGGCAAATGATAGTATCAGCTTCGCAGGGATTTATGTGAGAATTAATGAGCTTGTGCCCGTAATATAAGGCCAGCACACCGTGAGTGCCCAGTGCATTTCAGCCTTTCTTAATTGCTTTTATATTAATTTATCATTTTGCAGTTTACAAAGCACTTTCACAAATATGAACCAATTCGGTCCTCATAGCATTCCTGTAAGGAAGTCATTATGAACTCACAGTATTAAGAAAGGAGTGCTGGATGCCAGCCAGTGGCATGGTGGCTAAAGCAGCCAGATCCCAAATGGCTGACTTTGCAGTTCGAGTCCCAGAGCCGACGACTTGAAAAACATATAATATACTGGGTGCGCGCGCACGCA